GTTGGCTTACGCATGCGAATATACAACATTTCATTAACAAGGCAATCAAATTTGCCGTTACATTTCGTGATGACGTTGAATTGCTCGAAACGTCGAGTAATAAATCTTTCCTGGTTTTTTCTATTTTAAATCGTGTTACAAATAAACATTCGACATCAGTCACACTGTACAGTTGGCAAGGTGAAATGATTCGCTGTATAGGCCAAACGAAAGGAAACTGAAAACCTAGCAAGTTAATTTTTGGAAAACGCTACACCTCAAAATTCTGTTTTTATTCTGTTTCTCTGTGACTGAGCTTGGAGTCTTTTTGAGACAAGCAAACGACAAGTCTCAAATATACTTCCCTAGTAAGTCATTTTCATTGTATAAAACGCAGGTAATCTTAAACCAACCTCCGACTGCAGCGTTCGATGGGTTGTATCTCAAATTTCCCATCTCCCCAGAAGTGGGCAGGTCCCTATTCAAAGCATCTGGTGTAACATCCGTCGCATTATCGGCAAAAGTTAGGTCAACATCGGCAAGAACACTTCCATTCCTGACATAAAATTAGATCATCATATGCCTTGGTATCTTGTGAGACATTGAGACATATTTTTAGATTATAGTAAGTTAGAAGTGTGACTATTTATTTAAACAAACCTGAAACTTTTGACAGTAGCTTTTACAAATGTTCTGGCGAACTTGCTTTTGCGCCTGTAGTAGTCGTTAATCTACAATGGAAATGGAAAAAGCTGATAATAAGCCGCATCGATTAACATTGTAGTTGTCATTTTGATATTCGTTTTAAAGCGATCGAAAAAGAAGGCTACAAGAAGAACACATTTATCACTATCATGTGGAAAAGTGGACTCAAAATGTATCACGATAGTGACCTAAAACCGTTGGTTAACGTTACCCAGTCACAACTGAGGTCTGGACTCTGCTGAGGTCGTAATGTAACTGAGACGGACTTCGTAGGGACAACGAGAAAACAGAAATCTACCAGGACTGAAATGAGTGTTACCTATCTTTTAGGAATTGATCACCGCGCGTGCACTGAGAGCAGAAGGTAACCACAAATCATATTTTCTAACCTGTAGCTCGACTCTCCTGGCCAGTAGACCAAATGCGACAGTTTGAGGATTTCGCAAGTCTTCCTGCCATACAACTGACTTGCTGTTCACTCCAATCAATGTCAGAACAAAAACAAATACACGCACACCTGACAAAGAAACGAAATAGAGAACAGTTTCGAAAAGCGTGGAAGGTCTAAACTGTTCTAAGTAAATAAGTGCTCTTGAGAAATTTCATTGTGATAGTCGAGTGGTTCAAGCCGAGTTGCTAGCAAATTTCCTCGGTCAACTTTGCGACCCCAAACAGTTTAAATGAAGTGTCTAACACGTTAGTGCAAGTCGTAATATTTCCTCATTTTATGGAAACTTTAAGTTACAAAGGCATTGCTAGTCACTCATAAGAGCTTTCTCTCACCTCGACATTCGCCATTACAATAAAATGTTGGAGGTGGGCAGACGCATTGGAATGTGCCAGGTTGGTTAGTACAGACTCCAGCACAGCAA